ACACCAACTTTTTATTTTATAGATCTCCAAGTCATTTAAACAATGTTTTTTTTGCATATTGTATATTGTTTAATGGACGTTGAGATTGAATACTGTTCGTTATCATCATATCCTTCTTTGCATTGAGAGGCCAACATTAGCTCTTAATAATTTTGTATGATTTTTTAAGTACAAGGGTTGATCCAAAAGTAATGTCATAACTGCGATAAAAATGTTACTAGTCGACGTAAATTAAGGAAATTATGCATGATCAAAGCTATATTTATTACAAATCAGTCCTGAAAAATTCAAATTAAAATGATGTATACTTTTCAAGATATCGAATTATATACAAAGTGCAATTATGATAGTCGCCGAACCAAAATAACATCATAATCATGATGGATACGCGGCGTCATACATTTATACGCTTCCCCTTCGTTTCATTAAAAATATTTGAGATTCACGAAAAAAATTGACACACATTTTCCTTTTTAAAAGAATTATTTGCACCCATTGTAAAGTCAGTCTATACATAATTTAGTTATCAGTCAAAATTCTTTGAACGATATCATAAGAAAAACTAAAGGTTTCTCATATCGCTCTAATCGTCTCTCTTATTGGACAACGTCAGACACCATTTCCAGAACGTTTCTGCCCGACCACCCTTTTTCGATCTTTCTGACCTCTGCTGATCATTCAGTGACCAATGACTAGCTAAAATCGTGGAAACTATCTATAAACAAGTCTCTTATTTATATTCTATCCTCTGTGTGTCTGATTATCATCGTAACTGTTTCTACGGGCTATTTCCCAATTTTGGAACAAGAAGACATTGCAGATCGTTTGAGCGATTTTTCTCCACTTCGACATTTCTTTTATTCAATCCAACAGATTAAAACAACTAAGTTTATAATCAAAAAGCAATGACGTCATTTTATTTTAAACTTAAGACTAGAAAATATTGTAAAATTTTGTCTGTTAAAATATTGAAAGATTAGATGTTTTTTAGATGCTTTTATGTATTTGTCGTTTTTCATTCTAAAATTAACAATTTAAACGTGACGTTTAGTTGTGACGCAGCGACACCCTTTACGTTTAATATTTCAAACGTCTATCAAAATTAATTCAAGTAAACATTATTAAATGACATTTTCAATTTTGATAAGATTTATTTTTGTGCATCTTTTGGTATATTATATTTGATAATATGACGCCAAATATTAAGATATTGACACAGTGACATTACTTTTGGATTAACCCTCTTATTTTTTGAAAGAAAAAAAATATGTACATCCAAATAACATGTTTTCTTGTAAAAAAAATTGCTGTAATTTAAATGAATGCACCACATGAATACCTAATAGATTATGTAAAGAAAAGTCGTATAGATGTTAAAAAATTTAAATAAAACATATTTATGAAAATAAAATATTTATAAAGGAAATTGAAATAAAATAGCCAACCATAATTAATTATTGGAAATTAATAACATTTTCTCTAGAACTTTAGGCTGATTATTTGTAATAAAGGTTTAACATTATTGAACTTGACAATTAAATAGATTTCTTCATTGTAAATACATGAGAAAAACAATAGATTAGTATTTTATTCATTTTGTATTTATTTGAATGATTAAAATGATTAAGAGCTAATATTGGCCTTTCAATGCTGAAACCATTGTTTGAAAAGGATGATCCAAACATCTATAGAATAAAAAGTTGGTGTCACAGTGGCATTCCACTTTTAGATTGGTTAGAAAATGTATGCTGTGCTATACCAGGGTAACGTTTTCATAGGTAATTTTTTTTTTATTTCGTCATATTATAAGCATATTTGGTACACATATTTTATCAATACATTAAAATAATTTGAGCAAAGAGATTGGAAAATATTTTGATAATTATCAACATTATCAAAGACTTAATAGAGCAGGGTCAAAATTGAGCTATTTACTAATTATACACTTAACATGCATAATGTCTAGAGTCATACCTCTAATAAATGGCTTTTAAACGAAATAAAATTAAAACTTATAGATCTAGCATTGTTCTATTATATCAAATGTCAAAATTTAATGTTATACATTGCTTCGTTTAAAATATATCAATTCTTAAATGCAGATAGACTTCATATAAAAAAAGCAAAATACGATGACGTCGAGGGACCTCAAATGGCAACAAATAGCGATAACATCTTTGCACTCGGAAACAAACTCTGAGAATGCTTGATGAAACATAAAATAGATACACCGTGTACTATGCATTTGTTTATAATGGTAATGACTATTTTTATAGTTTTAGAGACTTTGAATTGGACCATAAACGGTCTGCAAAACAAACAAACAAAATATTATAGTTTAAAAAATCGAAGAGTCACTTTTGTGGAACTTGTGCAAAGAAGTATTACGTGAAAAAGAATTTTAAAACATTGACAATCTAATTTAAGGTACTCAAACAATTGTTAGGAATCTAGGAGTTAAGGGCTATGGATACGATTCTATGAATAGGGAAGAAGCTAAAAATCGTGTATGAAATGAAGAGGCAGAGTAATTTTGAAAAACTTTCTCGGCGTTGTTTTGACGTCACAGTGATTTTAACCATGCCTTAATTGTGGTAAAACAAAAAAAAAAAAAAAAAAAAAACTTGTTTAACACTTGTTCCATTTCATCAAATGGAATGAAAAGTTAAACACTGGCAAAATAATTTTTTTTTTCATTTAAAGATGTGTTGATCTAAAATTTTGTAAGAATAATATAGAAATGGAGGACATTATTTTCGTATTTTTGAAGGACCCTTTTAAGTACATGTTTTAACACTGTCCTCCAGAGACTTACAACGCCAAATAAAAAAAGAAAAAAACAAAACAAGGTACAATTAATAAAGTTACAGCCTCAGAAAACTTTTTTTTATTCCGTACACCATTATATGTACAAAGTATATGCTGTACTTTTATATATACAAAAAAAAAGAGAAAGAGACAGAAAGATAGAGAGAGAAGGAGGGGAAACGAGAAACAGAGTTTGATATTTTAAAAAAAATCGATATAGCACTAATCTTTTAGAAAATAGAGAAATTGTATTCCCCTTTAATATCATTATTTTGCGTTTAAATATGCTTCTCGATTAAGTGTTAAATTTCCACCTAGAAACTACCAAAGAATTAGGAAAAACTGATTTAGGGAGGGAGTGCATGTACATCTCTAAGATCCTCTCAAACACCCATCTTTTAAAAAAAATGTCGAAACCTTGAGAATTTCATAGTGTTTACATGCACATCTTCTGTATATATATATATATATTTAAAAGTAAAAATCCAAAAATATCACAAAACATTCACTGCAAGCGCTTTCGCCATGTTCGGCTCTTCAGGCAGTTATACAAATGTCAGGTAGGTTACCTGGTAACGTCAAAAGCATAAAGTTCATTGTGACGTCATAATAGATGTAGGTAGCGTTAAATTGGCGTAATTGTTAATATACAAATCTTGCACTAGCTTTCACACATTATACAAATGAAATTTCAAAATATAAAATATACAGTATCATTTGCGATTAAGTTTGGGTTTAAAGAGGTTGATAAAATAGTTTTCTTTTGCCAAACGTAAATTTTCGTTTTCATTTGGAAGTTTATAAAAAGGGAAAATCTTAAATATTCCTTTGCCACATTTTGCGAAATGTTCACAACACGGCGTATTACGCACACTAGGGTCTTTAATTTGTTGCTTGTGCACACGAACCCTGGCATTTAATTTTCCCGTTTGTCCAATATAATATTCTTTACACGTCGGACAGATGGCATAGTAGATGACGTTTTCCGATTTACAGTTCATAGATGAGTTGGTTCGAATTTCCATTCCTGATTTAAGTTGGATTTTATTCCCCTCTTCTAAATATGTACATGTTCCGCATCTCGGATCTCCGCATTTTTTAATGGTTGGAATTTCCTCCTGTGTTGTAAAACGGGCCTTGGTCAACAGTTTTTTAAGACTTGGTGCTTGTCGTCGACTGTTTATGATATCATTTGGCTGAACTAAACTTTTCATGTTTTCCGATTGTTCTAAAATGGGATAAAATCTTTTAGCGTCCATAAGGATGTTTCTGTTCCTTGGGTTATGGGTAACTACAAAGGCTATTTTCCCGTCATCATCGGTGTCGTCTATATGGCGTAGATTTCTTAGGTCCTCTATTGGAATTTCGGATGCCTTTTCTATTCCAATGTTTATTAGATCCAATGGATAATTTTGTCGTCTTAAATAAAGTTTTAATTCTTCCAAACGTCTACATCGTAGGGTTTCATCTGTAATAATTGTACAAATTCTCCGTGCTAAATTAAACGGAATATTACGTTTTGTGTGGGATGGGTGGCACGATCTAAAATCCAAATATTGGTGCGTGTCCGTGGGTTTACAGTACAAGTCTGTAGTTATACACGATCCATTCTTTATAATAAGAAGATCTAAAAATGGAAGTTCCGTACGACTTTTTTCTATAGTAAATTGTATGGAATCATGGAGGTTATTTAGAAGTGAATGGAATTTAGTTAAGTCTTCTTCACTCCTGGTCCAAAATATGAAGCAGTCATCTAGGTAACGTTTCCAATTATTTTTTATGTATTTAGCAAAGTCGACATCAAACAGTTCAGGTATTTTTCCATATAGTTGATCTTCTAAATATCCCATCACTAAAGTTGCGTATGAGGGAGCAACTTTTGTCCCCATGGCGGTTCCTTTTATTTGTAGGTAGAACTCATTGTTAAAATGGAAATGGTTATTTTCCAACACTATCTTCAGTCCTTCTAAAATGAATTCTTTTGGGAATCGTTCATTTATAATATCCGGATGTTTGTCTATCCAGTAACTAACTGCTTCCAGTCCCAAAGTATGTGGGATATTTGTGTACAAACTTGTAACATCAAAACTGACGAGAATAGTGTTTGGGTCTACATTTTGGGGAATATAATTCAGAAAATCCATATCATCTCTTACGCTGTTATTATTATGGACAAACCCCATTATAAGGAAATGGTACTGAACGAACTTCAGAACTGTCGGTTTTATAGAAAATTAACAGCCAACGAAGATCGTCACACAATGCTCAAGGTTGAGAAATTAACTAAAAAATATGCCGACAATTTAACAAAAAATGAAAATGATTTCTTAACTAACTTTGAATTGAAATCCAGTAATTTCTACGGATTACCAAAAGTCCACAAATCTAAGGAGATCCAGGAAGCTGTGAAAAATTGTGATGACGCATATATCAAAATATCCCAACCTGCTGACCTTAAAATACGTCCGATCATCGCTGGACCTGCATCAAGCACCCAACGACTGAGTAATTTATTGGACATTTTATTGAAACCACTATGCAAATTATTACCCAGCTTCGTAAGAGATGATATGGATTTTCTGAATTATATTCCCCAAAATGTAGACCCAAACACTATTCTCGTCAGTTTTGATGTTACAAGTTTGTACACAAATATCCCACATACTTTGGGACTGGAAGCAGTTAGTTACTGGATAGACAAACATCCGGATATTATAAATGAACGATTCCCAAAAGAATTCATTTTAGAAGGACTGAAGATAGTGTTGGAAAATAACCATTTCCATTTTAACAATGAGTTCTACCTACAAATAAAAGGAACCGCCATGGGGACAAAAGTTGCTCCCTCATACGCAACTTTAGTGATGGGATATTTAGAAGATCAACTATATGAAAAAATACCTGAACTGTTTGATGTCGACTTTGCTAAATACATAAAAAATAATTGGAAACGTTACCTAGATGACTGCTTCATATTTTGGACCAGGAGTGAAGAAGACTTAACTAAATTCCATTCACTTCTAAATAACCTCCATGATTCCATACAATTTACGCCATATAGACGACACCGATGATGACGGGAAAATAGCCTTTGTAGTTACCCATAACCCAAGGAACAGAAACATCCTTATGGACGCTAAAAGATTTTATCCCATTTTAGAACAATCGGAAAACATGAAAAGTTTAGTTCAGCCAAATGATATCATAAACAGTCGACGACAAGCACCAAGTCTTAAAAAACTGTTGACCAAGGCCCGTTTTACAACACAGGAGGAAATTCCAACCATTAAAAAATGCGGAGATCCGAGATGCGGAACATGTACATATTTAGAAGAGGGGAATAAAATCCAACTTAAATCAGGAATGGAAATTCGAACCAACTCATCTATGAACTGTAAATCGGAAAACGTCATCTACTGTGCCATCTGTCCGACGTGTAAAGAATATTATATTGGACAAACGGGAAAATTAAATGCCAGGGTTCGTGTGCACAAGCAACAAATTAAAGACCCTAGTGTGCGTAATACGCCGTGTTGTGAACATTTCGCAAAATGTGGCAAAGGAATATTTAAGATTTTCCCTTTTTATAAACTTCCAAATGAAAACGAAAATTTACGTTTGGCAAAAGAAAACTATTTTATCAACCTCTTTAAACCCAAACTTAATCGCAAATGATACTGTATATTTTATATTTTGAAATTTCATTTGTATAATGTGTGAAAGCTAGTGCAAGATTTGTATATTAACAATTACGCCAATTTAACGCTACCTACATCTATTATGACGTCACAATGAACTTTATGCTTTTGACGTTACCAGGTAACCTACCTGACATTTGTATAACTGCCTGAAGAGCCGAACATGGCGAAAGCGCTTGTAGTGAATGTTTTGTGATATTTTTGGATTTTTACTTTTAAATATACCAAAAACTGTACCGATTCTTCATTTTGCTTTGAAACTATATATATATATATATATATATATATATATATATATATATATATATATATATATATATATATATATATATATATATATATAGAGGATATCTATATTGTGTGATTTGATATTGGCTTTATCCAACGAGTTGAAATGGTGTATATATTCGCGAGGCTTGCCGAGCGAATATACACCATTTCAACGAGTTGGATAAAGCCAATATCAAATCACACAATTATAGATGTTCTATTTATCTCATACGACTTTCGTTTTAACAAAACTTGAGACTTCCCCTGCGAAACTACATGAATGACTGCCAAAATCAAATTGATGACGTATAACTTGATGACGTAGCACCGTTGATGTTTACATGCGTCGAGAGAAAGTAGATCGAGTTCAAAATTTAGAATATTTGCTATCTGTGTCTTTGAAAACATCATGTGAAAATTGCTGGAGCTTTACATCAAACGAACTTCTGACTGAAAGTTGTTAGGACTATGGGAATCGTGAAAATAAACTCTTTTTACGATGGCAGTACAAATCGTGCTAGGCAAGGCTAGGGGCCTAGACGTTGTCTAGATTGTTGGCTGATCCATGGTAAGTTACACCTACATTACTAGGTAGGCATACATAATATAATATAAGAAAGCATTGTTAAAGATGTCAAAGGAGTCTTATAACAACAACTTAACTGGTACATGTAGGCTTTACTTTCTCCGAAAACGATCTAAGAGGGGGGGGGGGGGGGGTAACATCTGTCTTCAAATAGCCAACGGGTTCCTTGATAAAATAAGACACTTCTTTGACATCTTGCTTTTAACGATATTGCTACCCTTTATCATTCATTTTATAAGGGCAACAATTTTCACAAATAAAAGTTTCAATAAAATAAAGTCTTGAAGCGAGGGTTCGTGTCAAAACCGGAAGTGCTATTGATAAAGCATCTACCCGTTGATAAAGCATAAGTTTATCCAACGGCCTGTATCACCAACACGTATGGGATAAATATATATATCCAAAAATGAAAGAAATATCACAGTGTCCGGTAATTAATATTAGAAAAAAATTTTGACAAGGCAACTATGTTAGTAAAACGTAAGCGCTTTCTTCATTATTTCTTCAGACGTTTTACATTTGAAAACAATTCAAAAATGTGACGTAATAACGTTACCTGTTGATAACGTCAACAACAATTCAATGACGTCACAATGCTATTAGAGGAAACAATAATAGAGCCAAAGTAAAATAACATAATTGATAGCGTAATACATAATTAAATCATGAGACAGTCTATATCAAACTATTTAGGGATGGTTTAAAAATATTTATAAAATGTTTTTCTTTTTCCCGTCTTTCTAAAACGCTCTCTGTTTTGAGTTTATAAAAGGGATAAACTGTGAATTGTCCCTGTCCACAAATATCAAGATGTTCACTGAGTTTTATTTTTCTGTACTGGGGTTGGTTGATATGCTGTCTGTGTATACGTATGCGAGTGCGAAGGGCGGTCCCGGTTTCTCCTATGTATAATTCTCCGCATCCAGCGCATTTTATACAATAAATAAGGTTTTTTGATGCACAGGTCATGTCTGCATTTACGGTAAATTTCTTATTTCCGAGTGTAAAAGTACTTCCCTCTTTAATATATCGGCAAGTTCCACAACGTGAATCGGAGCATGTATTGACCGTGTATGAATTCTGTTGCTGAAATACAGATTTGCACAATATTCTCCTGAGATTTTTAGGTTGTCTTTTACTGTTGATGAATTTATATTTTTCCAGCACTTTGGACATTTTCTCATCGGTCTGTAGAAGGTTGTTGAGGTTACGCACTGTAGGGGTAATATTCCTGTTCCTCGGATTGTAGGTAGTTACAAGCGGTAATATTGAGGTATCCGGATTGTCACTATTTGAGGAATTAATAAGTGTTTCTCTGTCGATTTCTGTGGCCTTTTTTATCCCGTCCTCAATGATTCCGGAAGGATAACATTGTTCAAGTAAATACTTTTTCAATTCATTTAGACGTTTATCTCTTGTTTTCTCGTCGCTAACTATTGTGCAGACTCTTCTAGCTAAATTGTACGGGATCGAGCGTTTTGTATGGCTAGGATGACAGGAACTGAAATGAAGGTATTGATGTGTGTCCGTCGGTTTGTAGTATATGTCTGTCGAAAGACATTCTCCATCCTTTTTAATTAAGACGTCCAAAAATGGAATACTTTGAAAACTTTCTTCCATTGTGAAGTTGATGTCAGGATCTAGATCATTCATAATATTTAGGAAAGCTGCTAGATTCGCATCGCTGTCATTCCAAATTATAAAACAATCATCGAGGTATCTTTTCCAATTGTTCTTTATATTTTCTGTAATTTGTTGGTCAAAGTACCGAGTTGTTCTTTCATACATCTTTTCTTCTAGATATCCTAGTGTGAGGGTGGCATAAGTAGGGGCCATTTTCGTTCCCATTGCTGTTCCTTTCTTTTGTGCATAATGCTTGTCGCTAAAGGAGAAAGTATTATTTTGCAATACTATCTTACTCGCCTCTAAGATGAAGTCTTTGCTGAAACGCGCATTAATTTTTTGTGGATATTTATCAATCCAGTATTCGAGCGCCTTGACACCAAGATCAGTAGTAATATTAGTGTACAAGTTGGTAACATCCATTGTGACTAGTTTGGCATTATGACTAACATTTTCAGGTAGATGTCTCAGAAAATCCAGATCATCACGAACATAACTTTTTACTTCTAAGCATAAAGGTTTCAGTAATATGTCCATAAGATGACTCAGCCTTTGTGTAGGAGCATTGGGTCCACCTACGATAGGTCTAAATGTGAGATCTTCCGGATCGTTACATGTAACATATGCAGAGTTTTGTATTTTAATCGCTTCCTTTATTGTTTTAGACTTGTGTATCTTAGGAAGTCCATAAAATGCACTTTCTCTGAAATCAAAATTCATTAAGAAGTCCTCTTCTTTATCTGTTAAACAGGACGTTGTGTTGTGGTTCTTTATCAAGTTTATGATTTTTCGCATTGTCTTTTTGTCACTGTTTTCTGGTATTTCATCGTAAAACTCGCTGTTATTGAGCATTTGTAATATTTTTGATTTGTAGTATTCTGTGTTCATAATCACTACTGCACCTCCCTTGTCTGCTTCTTTGATTACGATTGAACAATCGTTTGTCAGCGATTGAACAGCCTTTTCTTCTTCTTTTCGTAAATTACTTCTTGTATTATTTTTTTCATTCCTTAAAGGTATATTTTGCAGCGTATTACAAACAGTGTCAAGGAGACTGTTCCTTCCTTTCTTTGGATTAAAATTTGATTTGTTCCTTACAAGATCACTTTCAGACGTGTTTTCGTCTTCGTCATCCTTATGAAAAAACTCTGCTAGTCTTAATTTTCTTGTATATTCCTTAATATCCTTAGATAATTCCTGAAGATTAGAATTACTTGGTGTTGGTGTGAATTTTAATCCTTTTGATAATAACTTTATTTCAGCTGCATTTAATGGCCTACTTGACAGGTTTATCACTTTTGGGTCTATTGCTCCCAAGTTTCCCTCTGTCCTTGCAGGTATTGGTACTGCTGAAATCTCTGCCCTTGGCTCTGTTTGCCTCCTCCTAAAAAATAATGTGAGGATTTCTTTCCTATGTAAGTTGTCCCATTTCTTCTGAATAAGTTTCCAGAATGATTTAAAGACTTCATGGGTCCCTGTCCAAGATGTTTGTTTTTAAAAGATTGTTTTTCTGTTGAATATCCTCCCTGAGGTTGGTGGAATTTGTTCTTGTTATACATCTTTGTCGAATGATTTATATTTTCTCGATGCTGCATCTTCCCTGTTTTTCTCCCATTCTTTGAAGCAGGAATTTGAAACGAATTTCTGTTACTTTGCTGATATGTTTCCTTGTAAATAGATGTATTTTTTGGATTTTTTGGTCTACTGGCTGCTTCAGCATAGCTCAATTCCTGTTGTCTTGAGTTAGTTGCTGGTACTGTTTTCTCCATGTTCTTTTTTGTTGCAGGCTCTTTGTGAATTTTTTCCTTAATAGCTCCGTTTCCGTTTCCGTTTCCGTATTTTCTCACGTAGTCAAGTAGCCAAATTTCCTTATATCGCCATCTATCAAGGGATTTCTTTTCCTCTTTTTCGCAGTCTAATTTCCAAATACTCAGTAGAATTTCCAAGATTCTGCCCGTTGCTTTTGTTTGTAATGCTGCATTCATTTGCTCATCAATGTTAATTACATTTTGTTGAGATACACTTGATCTCATGCGTAGTAATTCTATTTCACCCTTAACTCTTTCTACAGCAATGTTAATTCGAACCTTTGTTTGTTCCTCGGGTTCTCCGCGAATGTTTGGAATTCGATATTTGCGAGGTAAAGTTGGATTTTCTTCATGAAGCCATTTCTCATATTGTTCCGCATCCTTAGAATTATTGATTTGCTTCCAATACAACTGTTTTCTGGTATTTAGTTTTCTACTCCATTCTTTTCTCATTGTTTGTTTAATTTTGCGAGCTTCATTTTGTAAAGCAAGTTCATTAACTTGTCGTTGAACTATTTCACTTGGTGACTGATACATTACATGATCATCATTTACGCTAGGTGTAAACACTGATTTCACATATGTGTCCTCATTCATAGATTGGTAAGGGAATCTGTCACCTACCTTGATTAAATTTTTAATCAGTTCAATGGATGTGTCCATTTTTTCCTCAATGAAACTTATCCGTGCAAGAATCTCACTCAATAAATCGTCTGTTTCCTCATGTTGATTTTCCATACATGTCGCCATCTCGGTCACTGGCCAGAATATATCCAAAAACGAAAGAAATATCACAGTGTCCGGTAATTAATATTAGAAAAAAATTTTGACAAGGCAACTATGTTAGTAAAACGTAAGCGCTTTCTTCATTATTTCTTCAGACGTTTTACATTTGAAAACAATTCAAAAATGTGACGTAATAACGTTACCTGTTGATAACGTCAACAACAATTCAATGACGTCACAATGCTATTAGAGGAAACAATAATAGAGCCTTTAAATCATTCTGGAAACTTATTCAGAAGAAATGGGACAACTTACATAGGAAAGAAATCCTCACATTATTTTTTAGGAGGAGGCAAACAGAGCCAAGGGCAGAGATTTCAGCAGTACCAATACCTGCAAGGACAGAGGGAAACTTGGGAGCAATAGACCCAAAAGTGATAAACCTGTCAAGTAGGCCATTAAATGCAGCTGAAATAAAGTTATTATCAAAAGGATTAAAATTCACACAACACCAAGTAATTCTAATCTTCAGGAATTATCTAAGGATATTAAGGAATATACAAGAAAATTAAGACTAGCAGAGTTTTTTCATAAGGATGACGAAGACAAAAACACGTCTGAAAGTGATCTTGTAAGGAACAAATCAAATTTTAATCCAAAGAAAGGAAGGAACAGTCTCCTTGACACTGTTTGTAATACGCTGCAAAATATACCTTTAAGGAATGAAAAAAATAATACAAGAAGTAATTTACGAAAAGAAGAAGAAAAGGCTGTTCAATCGCTGACAAACGATTGTTCAATCGTAATCAAAGAAGCAGACAAGGGAGGTGCAGTAGTGATTATGAACACAGAATACTACAAATCAAAAATATTACAAATGCTCAATAACAGTGAGTTTTACGATAAAATACCAGAAAACAGTGACAAAAAGACAATGCGAAAAATCATAAACTTGATAAAGAACCACAACACAACGTCCTGTTTAACAGATAAAGAAGAGGACTTCTTAATGAATTTTGATTTCAGAGAAAGTGCATTTTATGGACTTCCTAAGATACACAAGTCTAAAACAATAAAGGAAGCGATTAAAATACAAAACTCTGCATATGTTACATGTAACGATCCGGAAGATCTCACATTTAGACCTATCGTAGGTGGACCCAATGCTCCTACACAAAGGCTGAGTCATCTTATGGACATATTACTGAAACCTTTATGCTTAGAAGTAAAAAGTTATGTTCGTGATGATCTGGATTTTCTGAGACATCTACCTGAAAATGTTAGTCATAATGCCAAACTAGTCACAATGGATGTTACCAACTTGTACACTAATATTACTACTGATCTTGGTGTCAAGGCGCTCGAATACTGGATTGATAAATATCCACAAAAAATTAATGCGCGTTTCAGCAAAGACTTCATCTTAGAGGCGAGTAAGATAGTATTGCAAAATAATACTTTCTCCTTTAGCGACAAGCATTATGCACAAAAGAAAGGAACAGCAATGGGAACGAAAATGGCCCCTACTTATGCCACCCTCACACTAGGATATCTAGAAGAAAAGATGTATGAAAGAACAACTCGGTACTTTGACCAACAAATTACAGAAAATATAAAGAACAATTGGAAAAGATACCTCGATGATTGTTTTATAATTTGGAATGACAGCGATGCGAATCTAGCAGCTTTCCTAAATATTATGAATGATCTAGATCCTGACATCAACTTCACAATGAAAGAAAGTTTTCAAAGTATTCCATTTTTGGACGTCTTAATTAAAAAGGATGGAGAATGTCTTTCGACAGACATATACTACAAACCGACGGACACACATCAATACCTTCATTTCAGTTCCTGTCATCCTAGCCATACAAAACGCTCGATCCCGTACAATTTAGCTAGAAGAGTCTGCACAATAGTTAGCGACGAGAAAACAAGAGATAAACGTCTAAATGAATTGAAAAAGTATTTACTTGAACAATGTTATCCTTCCGGAATCATTGAGGACGGGATAAAAAAGCCCACAGAAATCGACAGAGAAACACTTATTAATTCCTCAAATAGTGACAATCCGGATACCTCAATATTACCGCTTGTAACTACCTACAATCCGAGGAACAGGAATATTACCCCTACAGTGCGTAACCTCAACAACCTTCTACAGACCGATGAGAAAATGTCCAAAGTGCTGGAAAAATATAAATTCATCAACAGTAAAAGACAACCTAAAAATCTCAGGAGAATATTGTGCAAATCTGTATTTCAGCAACAGAATTCATACACGGTCAATACATGCTCCGATTCACGTTGTGGAACTTGCCGATATATTAAAGAGGGAAGTACTTTTACACTCGGAAATAAGAAATTTACCGTAAATGCAGACATGACCTGTGCATCAAAAAACCTTATTTATTGTATAAAATGCGCTGGATGCGGAGAATTATACATAGGAGAAACCGGGACCGCCCTTCGCACTCGCATACGTATACACAGACAGCATATCAACCAACCCCAGTACAGAAAAATAAAACTCAGTGAACATCTTGATATTTGTGGACAGGGACAATTCACAGTTTATCCCTTTTATAAACTCAAAACAGAGAGCGTTTTAGAAAGACGGGAAAAAGAAAAACATTTTATAAATATTTTTAAACCATCCCTAAATAGTTTAATATAGACTGTCTCATGACTTAATTATGTATTACGCTATGAATTATGTTATTTTACTTTGGCTCTATTATTGTTTCCTCTAATAGCATTGTGACGTCATTGAATTGTTGTTGACGTTATCAACAGGTAACGTTATTACGTCACATTTTTGAATTGTTTTCAAATGTAAAACGTCTGAAGAAATAATGAAGAAAGCGCTTACGTTTTACTAACATAGTTGCCTTGTCAAAATTTTTTTCTAATATATATATATATATATATATATATATAGATAGATAGATAATCCAATAAAAAGTCTCAGTGGTCGGTATTAAATATTTAAAATAAAAAAGAAAACACGAAAAACTTCAGTAAAGCTGTAGGCCTTTCATTCTATCTTCAGAAGCTTTACAAAATAAACAATTGTAGTAACATAGTAACGTTACACAATAATTGGCGGAGTATATGACGTCGTTATTATGAAGTCAAATGAATTATGACGTCATAGTTAGCAGCTCATTGCGTACAGGTAAAAGTACGGGAAATTTTCAAGTTCTTAATAAAATGCAGATAAACATATGCATACATAATTAAATCTAATAGATATACATTACATCAGATTGTTAAGCTTTGGTTTTAACGCACAAATAAAATGTTTTTCTTTTTGGCGTCTACAAATATCATTTCCTCCTGCTACTTTATAAAACGGAAATATCGTAAGAAATTTAGAATTTTGTTTTGTTAATCTGTGAAGTATCGTTTCTTGGGCTTCGGAAGCAAATTGAAAGTGTGGGGGGGGGCTAACCGAAAGTGGGGGGGGGGCTTAAGTTAACCAACAAAAAAAGGTAAATCTCAATTTTCAATGCCTATATAATAGTTAATTTTTGCAAAAAAAGGGGGGGGGGGAGCTAAGCCATCATAAGACTGAACTTTTGTCCCCCACTTTTACTGAAAGTAGGGAATATATTACTTTTGGTCCGTCCGTCTGTAGATCTGTCCAGCTTATTTTCTGTCTGTCTGCAACACTTTCTTTTTCGCGCGATATTCCGAGAAGCTTTTGGGTTTTTACAATGAAATTTTCTATAACAACTTCCCCTGGTGTAATTATAAGAATTCTATAAATTTGGATGTAAAAATTTCATAGGGTCAAGGATCGCAAAATCATAAATTCTGTCTATTTTAACACTTTTGTTTGGGCGCGATATCTTGAGAAGAAGTTCAGCTTTTGCTGTGAAGTTTTATGGCACAACTCCCTAAAGTTATTGCCCAAGAAATACCCCTATTGATTTTGGGGTCAAAAGGTTATAGAGTTGAGATTTCATACATTCTGTTTGTATATAAAACTTTGATTTCCGGGCCATATCTCAGGTAGCTTTTAAACTTTTTCAATCTAATTTTATATCTTAACGCCCCATGGCCCCGACCACCCCCCTTAAACTGTCCCCCTCGCCCAACCTCCCCCCCCCACCCCCACCCCCGCCATCATAACATGCTTTTCTTTTTTCCCGTAAATCATAAACAAGTAAGGAGACAAAGATTCTTAAAATTAGCTTGTGCTGATTAAGTCTTCACCATAACAGCATATTATTCAGCATCAAAAAAACATTAGCTTAACTGTACAAATCAAAAACACGTTTTATTGTTAAGAATACAATTCAATGAAAAGGGAGAACCAAATCAATATTCAATACAGTCAATTTATTTTATTACTTTACATGGTCAGTTTGGTGTTACGTACTTTGAATTTAAATTCGACTTTAGAAATGTTTATGCATCTACCCGTTTTAACTGGACTTGTGTATATATTAACAAGATAGTGTATCCATATGTATATTTACATCAGAACGGGGATATTTCTAGTGAGCATTGGCTCACAGACTTCTTGTTGGTGTTTGGGTTAACATTTTTTGCTCGACTGAGCTGAAAGCCCGTGGGCTTTTCAGATCACATTTTGTCTGTCATCTTACTGTAAATTTTTCACATTTTCAGGTTCTTCTTCTTCTTATAAGTATATCTATTCAATTTCAACCAAACTTGCCACAAATCATCCGTGGATTAAGGGCATTAAGTTTTTTTTCAAATGAAGGACCGTGCCTTCTTTCTAGGAAGGTAGTGAATTAGTGAAAATTTAGTGACATCTTTTAAACATTTTTGTCTCTACAATAGGTGATCAAAGTTTTTCATAAAATATATAAGAATTCTTTCAAAATCTATTGAGATTCTGAAATACGCTTTTTTTAAACTTGTATCTAACAACGTACTGCCCGGCTATTAAATTGCACTGTCACGATGACCCACAGTCATATACATGTAGTGCTGCATATAATTCTGATGTCGGCTGCTAGTGAGTGTGAATCGTGCATGCTGAATCTACGAATTCTCAGGCATTAGACTGACTTGAAGAATAGAAGTGCAATCAACACTTATCTTTATATTACCCATGGGAGTGGTGCTTGGCAAATATCAATGATGTCAGCAGTTTTGAGGAAAGGGTGCAAAACTTTTCAAATTACGAATTAAAGCTTTAAAACTTTATTCTCAGACAACAATTTGAGGCCTTAATTAAATAATTTCAACATTTTTTTTTTTTTTGGGGGGGGGGGATTTCAATATCTTATACGTACTCAATAATATTGATGAGTAAAACTATAAAATGGACATATGGCATGGAATAAACGAGTAAACAATAAATAAATTGAAGTAAAATAATGTCGAAGGTGATAACACAAAGTCTGCGCAGCGAGCTTCAGCAGAGTTTATGAAAAATAATTAAAGAATGTTTTACTGGGGTCGGAGAAAGAGATTCTTTGACTATTTTAAGATTTCATATCTCTTAATTAAACATCCTCTTTAAAACAACCCGAAAACACGTTATAATTAAATTGCAATATAACATTTTATTGCAGCTGGTTCCATGGAGTTAAGAAATGCCACTTGTGCTTTGAAAAAAAATTATTTGTCATTTAGTAAACATGCAAAATCATGAAATCTATATAATTTATTATATTTTATTCTCGATTTGAATACGATTTTCGTGGGTACTCACACGTATGATTGATATACACAGAGAAATTTGTATTTATGAACTTACAGTAGCTCTACACAGTAGCTTATTTAATATGCTTACTTTACAAGTTTGGTTGAATTTCACGTTAATAATATTAACATTTTATAGTGTGTAAGTGTTTGAAAGAATGTGTGTATTTCAAGTTAAAACATTATTCAAGAGAATTATTGCTGAACACCACTAATTCCGTATCAGATGTAGCTACATAATTTCGGGAGAGTTCTGGCTTCATTAAGAAGCTTCAATGGATCGATTCCCTCTCTGGGAGTAAAATCTTTTGATGTGAACTTTGAAGCGACATTTCATATCAACAAGTAGCCCTATAGAGCGTAAGGATAACCTAAAAGTTTCTGAAGATATTTTTAGGTTTTGAAATCGGATGCACAAACACAATGTACATATTACATGTCAAGATGACAATATTCTGAAGGTTGAAAATGAAAATTAATACATTCAGTTGTTAATAAAAAGAATGTTTAGATTGGAGAAATTCAGAATGTTTGACTGTTTTTGAACCCCATGATTTGTAGATGGATATCATTTATATTGATTTTATATGATATTATATAAGATTTATATCCCCGAGCCTAAGCAATTCTTTTTACCACATCTTTTTTAAATAGCTATCAATATTATACACCGTGTTTTATATTACGAATCCACACTATTTACTTCATCATTTTCATGCACCCCCCCCCCCTATATTCAACCCCAAAGGATGTTGGACATTTTTACTTCACAAATTATATTTATCACACTTATTCATAATGTGTACGATAGGCAATACTCGTGAAAAAACCCATAATATTCGTTCCACACACACACCCTCCCTCAGCCTAAAAGACCCCATTATAGTTTCTCTTAAAATGTGTAGCGGGGTATTTATTCGTGATTGAAATATTATTTTGGATTTTTCACACTAAGATACACATGATGAATAAGTGTAATAAATATAATTAGTGAAAAAAATATCCAACAAGCCCCGGGGTTGAATATCGAAGGTGTGTGTGTGTGTGGGGGGGTCCTGTCCACAAGTACATGTACCATGTAGGATAAAGGGTAAACATGTGATAAAGATTGTTTACCATTTCATACACAGGTAAACCTTAACAAATTAATATACACAATCGTTACACTGTAAACGTGTGTTTAAATTAAAATGTGGTTTAACATATCCAGTACCAAGTGGATTTAACGTACCCTTCTCAACCGCAAAACAAGGGCTGACAATGTTACCGTACAATAAGTATTAGGGAAAATCTTAAGAAATGTGTTTCATAAAACAAAACAAATCCGCATTATGCAATGTTGGATTTCTTTATAGTCTTCAGGTATAATGGGGCGAGGGGTGTGTGTTAAATTTCTCTGATTCTTTGACCTATCTGCAGAAGTGTAGCTCTCCAAAAAAAAAATATATTGGCAGACTGGAGAGCTACAATTCACCCACTGAAAAAACTGTATATTTATTGCGCACAAAAAATTGCGCTCGGTTCTGGATTGATTGATTCTTTTAAATTCATACCGCAAAAAAGCTTTATTTCAAAAAATTACTTATTTCTCTATTAAGTGATCTAGTATTTCCGTATTGAAAGGCCGATTTTAGCTCTTAATTATTTTAAAATAAGAAGATTGGGGGATAAGGCGGGCAGAATGCCTATAGCGTCAGATATTAAGAAATCACATTTTACTATGTAAATTGAGTGTTTAAATTTACTTCTCATTATTGAATTTTATTAAGTTATGAGAGAAAAAACATTTTCTGAGAGAAAATTCATCTCTTGAAAAATTCATTTATAAAAATATTAGATGGTATACATGGGATTCGAACCCCAGCAATAAAATACCGAACTATCATTCTGCATTGAGACTAACGCGCTAACCACTATTCTACATGGCTCATGATGATTAGGGGCATTTAAATCATGTTTGTGATATGACCCTCGATTTAACGAACTTGAAGT